AACGAATCACATTTTAAATGTCTAAAAATCAATTATTAGTGATTGAATGTAATTAAATTACCTTTATAAAACTTTTCTTGTTGTCTATTTATGTAAAAATTGTATTATGTTTAAAGTTACCCAAAAATAGGCAAAAAGTTACCCTAAAATTAGCTAAAAGTTACCCTTATACTGCTCGATGTACACTAATATTAGTGTAAATCGGATGTATACAAAAGTTTTTGGTTATGTTATTGGCTTGTTTATCAAAATCGTAATCCATACATTCAAAATTTTAAATGATTCTATCCTAAACAATTTACCATGAGTCCATGAGATATTATTTTACTAAAATCTAAGCCATAAAATTTGATTTTGTGAAAACTACCTATTATAGTCCAGAATTTGCGAGAAACTACCTATTAAAAAAAATGTTGTAATTAACTACCTAATTTTCAAAAATTGTTGTAATTTACTACCTTATGCCGAATTATGAAGGAGTTTGACCAAAGTTCTCCGGCGTTGACTTGGCCATGTGACCATCACGTGACACTTATTGACCCTTTTCTTTCACCAAGTGTCACATGACCAAGCCAACGTCGGAGAATTTTGGTCAAACTCCTTCATAATCCGGCGTAAAAGTAGTAAATTACAACATTTTTAAAAAATTGGGTAGTCAATTACAACATATTTTTTAATAGGTAGTTTCTCGCAAATTCTGGAATATAATAGGTAGTTTTTCACAAAATTGTTTACGATGTTAGCTTACTCCTAGGTCGGTGCATAATAACGGCAAGTTTTCCTTTGCTGCTGTAAAAAAAATAAGGATATTTTGGATTTTAACACCTGACAAAAGGCTGAAAATGGTTTTTAACACCCCCCAAAAAAAAACTTTTATTTTAACACCTCCCAAAAATATAAAAGTTGGAAGTTAACACCAGTTAACGATTTCCGTCACGGAAATTTAACGTGGGTCCCACAAATTGGCTTCAACTTCAATTTTCACCCAGCAAAACACGAAACTTCCTCTCTGAACCTTCATTTCATTGATTTTATCCATTACAGATTTTTGGTGCTCATAATTTACAGATTTACAGATTTTTGGTGCTCATAAATCAAACCATACAAAAAATAAATAAAAATTCAACACCGGTTCATCTTCTCCTTCGTTGGAGAACAAAGCGACTGAGAACTTCCATTTTTTTTACCACCAATTCCGCCGCCCATAAAGGGCCCTGTACGGCTACTGACCAAGCCTTCGCAGCCAGCAAACATGTTAACTGGGGACCGGCCACCAAAATTAAATCAACCACCCAAGAAACCAACCTTGCCCCATCCCGTTAGCCACCCAGCTCCCTCCCCCGACCGACGACCGGCGAACCCATCCCACCCCTTTTCCCCACAAACGCAACCCAACCCTCTCCCTTTTCCCCTGCTGCCCCGACCCAAGCCACCACACCGAAACCACAATCAAAGATCTGAATCGCCGCAACCACCACCACTACCACCACTCTTCTGCAACACTTTGCTCCAAACCCTAACGAATCGACCCGCCTTAACCTTTTCGGCCACCCTAACCCCTAAACCACCACACCGTAACTTTTTTCGGCAAACTTAAATTGATTTCTAGACGAGGTTCGATGGATCTGCGATTTGCTCTGATTTCGGGAATTGATGTTGGGAATTGATTTTTTGCGGTTTGAGTGAGGAGGTGGCTGCAGGGGTTGCGATTGTGGGCTGGTATTTGGAGAGGAGCTGATTTGGTTGCGAGAACGGGGAAAGGGAAGGGGGGTGGGTTCGGTTGGCAGCGTAGGGGTGGGGGAAAGGGAGGGGGGAGGGAAGGGGTGGCAGTTGAGGGGAGGGTGGGCAAGAACGAAGGAAAGAGTTTGGGATGGCAGCCATGAAGATGAAGGGAGGAAGAAGACGAAGAAAAGATGAAGGGAGGAATAAGAAGAAAAAATGGGATGGCAGCCACGAAGGTGGGTTTCGTAAAAAATTGAAAACGAAGGAGAGTTGAAGCCAATTTATGGGACCCACGTTAAATTTCCGTGACGGAAATCGTTAACTGGTGTTAACTTCCAACTTTTATATTTTTGGGAGGTGTTAAAATAAAAGTTTTTTTTTGGGGGGTGTTAAAAACCATTTTCAGCCTTTAAAATAATAATAAAAAAAACATCATCATGATGGCCATTCTTAATATTTCATCAAGTTCTCATCAACACTTTCTTGAATTTTTCTTCCATATGATATGCTTGATAATTCTTACACAGTCAACTTATTTCTTTTACTTTCCAAAAATATGTTAGAGTTAATTAGGATCATAATCCATACATTTTAAATGATTATTACGGAGTATATCCTAAATAATCTACCATGAGATAATCAACCAATCAACAATGATCAATAATCATCAATAACTATATACTAAAAGACACACCAGCAATGACACGTGTCATCTCCTGGTGTGTCCTTAGATTGTTTTTTTTTTTTTGGAAAAAGAATTTAAACATTTATGACTATTATAAATAATATTAACATAATTTGCGACATATTTTAATGTACTTCAAGGAAGTATTCATATTTTTTTCCTAATAAAAATAGTTGTTCATTTATTGATTAGAATTCACATCAAAGTAGTGTATATATTTAATGATTTTTTTTAGATTTTTAAATTTTTTTGTAAAATAACCAATGGTATTTAAATTTGATAGGGGTATTATTTTTTAAAAATTATCGTGCGTGGTACGGGACCTAAACTAGTATTTGACTAAAATATATATAATCCATAAAAGCTGTTTTACAAACTACATAACCCCCATTACACAACAATTTATATTTTCCTCTTGTTATAAATACTCTTTAAACCCTTTATTAACTATCTACATATTATTAGTGAGAAGTCTCAGAGAGAAAACTATTCCTTGATTCTTGTTATATCTTTGTGGTGAAATTACCTTCTTAAATTTTATGTGACATAGCCATGGAATTGAAGAAACGACTATAGACCTAGCCGCTATATGGGAAGATACGTTGAGGAAATTCGATGGTCTAGAGGAAACATGGGAAGTTCTTAGTAGTGTTTCAATGAAGCAAATAATAAACAAAGTTGTTAGTTTGGGTGAGAAGACGGCAATAAATTAAATAGTGTTCTTGATCGAGAAGTATCACGACATCATCAACAACGTCCACCACAAGAAAATAACCTTTTCGTAGCGATTATTTTAACCTTTAGTATCGATTATTTTAACCTTTAGTATTGTTTGTAATTGCAACAAAAAGCTTTCCCAATGAATGGTCATTCAATACAATATCCGTCGTTGCCTTAGCCTTTAGTAGTGGTTTTCAATATTGCTGGGGTTGACCTCAATAATCGATACGAAAAACTACATCCAATCGTGGTGATTATTGTAGCGATTATAATTGCTATAAATGTTGAACTCATTTTCTTCAAAAAAAAAAAAAAAAAAAAAAAACGTACATTTGATCTTTACAAGATTCGAACATGCAACCTCAAACTCTTATATTAAGAGTTTCACTAATAAGCTATGACATATTTTATCTACTCTTTGTTAAACAATATTTATATATTTAGTGTAGAAAAAACTTTTATCGATTTTTGGGATTTAGTGGTGATTGTAAATGATACGATTTCTAATAATTTTATAAATGTGCAAAAATATATTGTGGATATGTATTATTATGTTTTCCGTATTGATTTTATATGGGAAAACCATGGTGATTGTAAAATGATACGATTTCCTTAATTATTTCACAAACATACTTGCATATTGTAGGAAACTACGAAAAGTCAACTTTCTTGTAGTGGTCGTCATGGAAAAGGAAAAGAGATGAAAATTCTCCTAGACAATTTGGGTGTGAAAGGGGTTAATAGGGTTCACGTTAAAGAGTTACCAAAGTCATCACCGCAACCTAAACCTAATTCCTTGTATGACACGTCATATTATGAAAATGGAAGAAAGAAAATATGTTTGATTGGTTTGAATGATCTTCCTACACAACCTACAATAATAAGAAGTCAAAGAAATCAAAAGGGGAAAGCTTAATAAAGATTTTAGAGGAGTGAAGAATCAAGTAGTTGGTTGCATAAATTGTTGAAACAGCCATTGGCGAGGACGACCGGTTGCTAATAACAAGTTGAAGTGAAAAGGGTGATGAAGTTGCGGCATGCATAAGAAGGTGTTTGATCATTGATGAGGTTAAATTGAAGGTGCAAATTAATGGATGCAATCGATTTTCGTAGTCTTAATTGATGTATGTTGTACTATATTACTATAATGAAAGATTGAATGATCGTCCCCGTCCGTGGAGTAGGTCACATTGACTGAACAACGTAAAAGCACGTGTTTTGTATGTGCTATTTTTTCTTATTTTTATTCTCTAATTTCTTACTTAATATTTCACACAAATTACTCTAATTTTATACTCATATGACATGATAATTCAGATAACTAATTTTAAATTCATTTAGATAGCTAATAAATAATTCAGACAATAAATAATGAAAATCATGAATTTTACTAAAGTACTTTAACAATTGATAAACTATCAAAAAATAAAAAAAGGATATATATATATGGTAAGTATTATACATGTACTATTGCAATTATTAACCACAAGTACACAAATTAAAAACTATACGAGGTCACAATTGCAATGACACAATATAATCACTATTTTCATAAATATTTTTCATTAAGACAGACTATTTTAATTATATTTTGATGAATAATTTTTCTTTCAGTTATAAGTACCAAATTAACTCTGAAAATTGATAGAAGTGTCAACTCATGTAGTCACGACTCATGAGTCAAAGAGATGGATTGTTTTCGTTTGCAATCTTTATCATCACCAACCTGATAAAGACTTTCAATAGTGGAGTACTATAAGGGTGCATTATATATACGCGATTTTTACTTGTCAAAACTTACTAGATACTCCATATTATTAGAACCGGTTTTAAATACATTGGCGTACTACCTCACTTACATTTTACCACGTTTTGATGATGATTGACAGACAAAATACGTTTCGCTATCCATCCTGCTTTGATGCTTTCTCTTGGGGTGTTGCTTAAATTACCATTTCGAAAAATCGAAACGTTTCTGGTACACAGAAACGGAGTGGAGAACGTTTCCATGCTAAAACTTCATAATAGTAGTAAAATAATCTAGGCTGACAATTCAAATTATAGATCGACATTGTCAATTGCTAGCCTAAAAAATTGATCTTTATTATTTTTATTATTTTTTTTCTTTAATGTATAATAAGTAGTTAATCCATATCAATTTTCTGAATTCAGAATTACATACTTCTGAGCTAAAGATGGATGATAAAATTGAAAATTTAAATACACCCTTAAGTATGAATCCTCTATTTAAAATTCATTTTATAAATTATTAATTTCCTTTTTTTTCAGGTTTCTATAATCTCTTATTCTCATATTTACATGTTTCAGACATTGACTTTATGCAGTTCAGAAAGATCAAGAAAATGCAGAAAGTCAAAGCCTTGATCATCAAGTCAGATCAACAGCACCGGACCTGCAGGAGGATTCTCCGGTGAAACAGGTTGCGATGACGGTCCCTACGACAGACGACCCTGACCTACCAGTCCTGACATTCAGGACATGGGTGCTTGGGATAATCTCCTGTGTGGTGCTGTCATTTCTGAACCAGTTTTTCTGGTACAGGACAGAACCTCTCAGCATCACTGGCATTGCTGCTCAGATTGCGGTTGTCCCACTCGGGCATTGGATGGCTTCTAAGCTCCCCAACCGCGTCTTCCTGCAGGGGACGCGGTTGGAGTTTACCCTGAACCCGGGACCTTTTAATGTGAAGGAACATGTACTTATTACCATCTTAGCTAATGCAGGGGCAGGAAATGTTTATGCAATTCATGTTGTTACCGCGGTTAAGGTCTTTTACAAGAAGCACATTACTTTCTTTGTGTCCTTGCTTGTTGTTCTTACTAGTCAGGTTTTGGGGTTTGGATGGGCTGGTGTTTTTCGACGTTACCTTGTGGAGCCGGCTCAAATGTGGTGGCCGGCTAATCTTGTACAAGTTTCCCTCTTCAGGTAAATATTTTCTTGTTATAAACTTGTTCACTTATCTGAAAAAAATCAAACTTGGAAAAAGGCAAAATATAATACAGAGTATAATGTTGCATATAGTCTATAACATTGTACCTAGGCATTGTATGATTTGTATAGATTTCCTAAGTGCTAGGAACTTGATGTTGTCCCTAAACAAATCTTACATGTGTACACTTACACGAGCATGTGCACATACACGCGCACACACACAAAAGAAAAACAAAGATTGAAGTTGATTGATTAACTAATATTCATTAAAATGAACAGGGCATTGCACGAGAAAGAAGAACGGCCCAAAGGCGGTCTTACTCGTACTCAATTCTTCCTTATCGCCTTCATTTGCAGCTTTGCATATTACATCTTCCCTGGCTACCTATTCCAAATGCTAACTTCCCTTTCTTGGGTATGTTGGCTCTGGCCAAAATCCATACTAGCCCAACAGCTTGGTTCGGGGTTACACGGGCTTGGAATAGGTGCATTGGGTTTGGACTGGTCCACCATATCATCTTATCTCGGAAGCCCCCTAGCAAGCCCATGGTTTGCCACAGCTAATGTGGCTGTTGGATATGTACTTCTCATGTATGTGCTTGTCCCAATTACCTACTGGTTGAATGTTTACAAGGCTAAGACCTTTCCCATATTTTCGAACCATCTCTTCACATCATCAGGCTCCATTTACAATGTCTCAGCTATCGTGGACTCCAATTTCCATTTCAATCAGGAGGCTTATGGGAAACAAGGTCCTCTTTACCTTAGCACCTTCTTTGCCATGACTTATGGGGTTGGGTTCGCCGCTCTAAGTGCCACCATTGTGCATGTAGCACTCTTTCACGGCAGGTAATTTTAAATTTGAATTAGTAATGTGACAACTACTGTCATATATCATTATATGAATTCTATTGAATTGAATATTAATATTTATCAATTAATATTTTCCTAGACCATCTAATTTAAGTTAAAGAAAACATGATCAAAATAATTGATGTGATCATCCCATTCCCCATTTTCCATCAAAAAATACATAGGGAAATATGGGAGCAAAGCAGGGCAAGTTTTAAGGAAAAGAAAATGGACATATATTTAAAGCTTATGAGAAGGTACAAGGAAGTTCCCGATTGGTGGTTTTGGACCATCTTAGTGGTAAACATCGCGGCAGCTATCTTTGCCTGTGAGTATTACAAAGAACAACTTCAGCTACCATGGTGGGGTGTTTTGCTAGCTTGTGCTATTGCCTTCATTTTCACACTTCCAATTGGAGTTATAACCGCTATTGCAAATCAAGTAAGAATGCTTTTTACACAAATTTTGTGGTATGCATTATCATATGGTTGTATACTTTTATGTATCATTGTATTATATATACATTGATCCTTTGATTTATAATTATATTACTCTGTATTTGTAGTCACCACATTTGAATATCATCACTGAGTACATAATTGGATACATCTACCCTGGATATCCTGTTGCAAATATGTGTTTCAAGGTGTATGGAAACATTAGTATGAAGCAAGCTGTTACCTTCTTGCAAGATTTCAAACTTGGACATTACATGAAAATTCCACCTAGAACAATGTTTATAGCACAGGTATTTATATTTCATCCTATGACTTGTCCTGTCCTACACTTGTAAGACAAAAACGACTTTTTTTTTCTTTTTTACTCCCTCCGTTTCATAAAGTTCTTCCAATTTACTACTTGTACATATGCAGGTAGTAGGAACAATGGTCTCGAGTTTAGTGTACCTTTGCACAGCCTGGTGGCTAATGGAAACCATTCCAGATATATGTGATAGAAATACCTCATCAAACAGCGTGTGGACTTGTCCCGGCGACACAGTGTTCTATGATGCTTCAGTCATATGGGGGTTAGTCGGACCAAGAAAGATATTCGGAGATGAAGGCATATATGGAGCTATAAATTGGTTTTTCCTAGGAGGAGCAATAGCTCCAATCATAGTATGGTTGGCAACAAAGGCATTTCCTAACCAAGAATGGATTAGGCTTATCAACATGCCTATCTTAATCGGCGCCACGGCTTCCATGCCACCAGCAACTGCAGTGAATTACAGTACATGGATACTTGTAGGATTCCTGTCAGGATATGTAGCATTCAGGTATGCTCCTGAATGGTGGAAGCGCCACAATTATTTGCTTTCGGGCGCGCTTGATGCCGGCTTAGCCTTCATGGGTGTAGCATTGTATCTTTGCTTAGGGTCTGAAGATCATAGTCTTAATTGGTGGGGAAATGACCTTGATGGATGTCCTTATGCTTCTTGTCCTACACAAAAAGGAGTTGTTGTTTTAGGTTGTCCTGTTGTAAGCTAAGATATTATATACACATTTTTTTTTTGCTAAACAATTGTACACCATAATTTCGTTAAGTAAAATACATTTAATGTCATACGGACACACGAGTATATTGATGCGGAGCAACGTTAGGGCCAATAACTGATTGGATTATTAGAAACAACAAATCATTAAGAAGCAAATTACAAGAAGGCACTCTATACAGTGATAAGAAAGAAGGTGAAAGAGACGTATAAAGAAAATTAAGACTACAAGAGATGCTACTGTACTATACTAGGTTCTTGATACTGATGAGTCACGATGATATGCAATGTGTGATTTGGAATCCAGATTAATTTAGATTCTTTTGGGCCGTAATTGTGGGGTACGGTTAATTAAGATTCAAAATTTAATGTATCATTCATTTTATTCATGTCAAATCTTATCAAAATATCTACTCCAATTATAATCGAATGGTCTTCAACAAATTCATTGATATAGTCGTTCTCATTGATGGGAAACCTTACCTCATGGCCACGTACTGCCAATTTTATTTTGTATTTTTTTTAAAAAATTGTGTTAGGTAGTGTAAATTTTACATGTTTGGACCATTTTCTACGGATCCAATAATAATGTCAACAAGTCAACTATTCCAGTTGATACTTGAAAAATAGATACTAGTAGGAGTTTTTAAAAATTTCCTTATTTATATTCATCTAATCTATAGTTTTCATATTAGTTTTTCCTCTTTAGAGATGGAGTGGGCTGTTGTTGAGTGTACTTATTCTAAGCTTAGTTGGATACACGATTCATTCATTAATAAAATTAATTTCTATTGAAATGAAATTATATCGTGTTACTTTAACTACCAAATTAGTTTAATTTAGTTAATATCAAGCATAATAGAAGTATTAGAAGCAAACCCTTAGTTCATTGAAATCTTTATTGACCTTAATATTAGATCTGGGCCAAAGTAGATTAAATCAATGTAAAGTGAAATTTACATTGTAGCCTCAAGATTATCACATGTGGCTGAATTAAAATGAAAAAAAAAAAAAAACACATATATATGAGAATAATACAATTTGAATGATATCATCATATCAAGAGTAACAAAAAGGCCTTGAGACAATGACCCCAATTAACCAACACAAAAATATACCAGTATCATGCACAGGAAGTAAAAATTCCCAATAAATTGTAAAACAAAAGGATGCAAAGTTTAAGGGCATGATCTCTTCAGATTATCTTCAGTTCAGGTCAGTTCAGCTCCAATAAATTCGATTTAGTTCAGTATTTAATTGCTTTCTCTCATAAAATATTCAGTCTAGTTAATTAAAATAGACTCTAAATATACAATCAGATTAAACTACTGTATATTTTACCATAAAATCAAAAATAATTTTCACACTTTATACGAGTACATTTTTACCAAATGAAACAAACCCCTGAAAGATCTACAGTAGTTAAATATGAAAGTCGTCAATCTTTTAATGTCACGTGGTACAACATGCACACTGAAGAACAACCCTCATCTAACCTCTTTCCATCATTTATGTCAAGTTACTAGCAATAATTATTCTCCTGCTCTTTCAAGTTTCAATAATAATAGTAATGGCATCAATTTTGGCATTTCTCTGATAACAAAAAATAATAAAATATCCAAAACTACTCCAATAATAATATCTCTACCACATCTCTACTCTATCAACAACCAAGCAAACAAATTAAGAAAAAAACTGCAAGCTACCAAGTTAGCTTGCCACACATATGGAAGATCCAAATATTCACACCCCCTTAAGTAATAATTACCATCTTTTTCTCGTCTTTATACTTGTTGGTTTATTTATACGATCCTAATATTTGACTTTGTTTTTTCCATTTGTAGTTTCATCAGAAGAAGATAAGATACAAGAAGATGATAATGGAGAAGAAAGTCAAAGGGGAGTACAAGATCCATTACTACCATCAAAGGAAGAGAATTCTCCGGTGGAACAGGTGGCGATGACGGTCCCAACCACAGACGATCCGGACCTTCCGGTGTTAACATTTAGAATGTGGGCCCTAGGGACGTTGTCTTGTGTTGTACTCTCGTTTTTAAACCAGTTTTTTTTGGTACCGTAAGGAGCCTCTAAGTATAACCGCCATCTCGGCTCAAATAGCCGTTGTCCCTCTCGGTCAGTGGATGGCGGCTAGGTTGCCTAGCCGCCTGATGCTGCGAGGGACGCGGTGGGAGTTCTCATTAAATCCGGGCCCTTTTAATGTCAAGGAACATGTGCTTATAACAATCTTTGCTAATGCTGGTGCTGGAAGTGTTTATGCCATTCATGTTGTTACGGTTGTTAAGATATTTTACAAGAAACAAATTACCTTTTTTGTTTCCTTGATTGTTATTCTTACAACTCAGGTAAATACATTTAGTCCGTAATTTGTACTAGATACATTAAAGTGACACCTAACTATTTCTTATTAATTACAACATGATTATACAGAGTAATACGTAACTTGTTATTATTAAATAATGAAGAAATTAATTGATAGTATGAATGATTAATTAGTAAGGTTGTGGTTTTTTGATATACTTATCATTTTGATGGATTGGTAGGTGTTGGGATTTGGATGGGCTGGAATTTTCCGGCGTTACTTGGTTGAGCCGGCTGAAATGTGGTGGCCTGCCAATCTTGTCCAAGTTTCCCTATTCAGGTAAATTATTTGCCCAACTACTTGCTTTGAATTTAAAATGTCACACGCTATAATTAGTCATGGATTTTGACATATACTGTATATGTATAAATGTTTTTAGTATTTTGCCATTAGTGCCAGTGTCACCATTTATATTCTATTGAAAATATGATATACTGTATATGTATAAATGTTTTTAGTATTTTGCCATTAGTGCCAGTGTCACCATTTATATTCTATTGAAAATATGATACACAAAATATTAAGGGTCTGTTCTCATACGTTGAAATTCAATTCAGTTATGTTCAGTTTAGCTCAGCTCAGCTCAGTTTAGTTCAGTTCAGTTCAGTTTGACTGAATTCAGTCAATGAGAACATGCCCTAAATATGTATCACAATATATGTAATGTGTTGACTTTTGTCTTTGTTAAACTATAATTTTGATCATTTGAAGAAAAAAAAAAGTGGTCAAAGTTAATAATAAATAATTAACGTTAAAAGTATAATATTACATATATTATTAATCAGGGTTAGTACAAAGTACTGGAGTTAAGGGTAGCTTAATACGGAGTATGTAAATCTTGTAAATTGTACAAGAACTATAAGACTAATACTATTTCATGTGATTACTATCTCTGTTAATTATTATTTGTAATATTGAAATATTTTATATCTCACAAATAATACCTCAAACTTACAGATAACAATTGAAAGAGGTAGTATATTTAATGGTACTGGTATTTTTTTATGAAGTACTCCGTACAAAGTAGTCTAACTTATGTAGTGTAGACGTGTAGTCCATATTTGGCCCAAACAAGTTTGGCCAGTGCATGTCTATGAGAATCACGTGTATGGGCCCTTGCGAGTTAAAAAATTCTGACAATCATGCAGGTTAAGCCACTTTTACTACTTCACAACAAAGTGATGTCTAATCTTGTTAGAGTGCTAGTTTTACATTACCACCATTTTTTTTTTTTTTTTTTTTGAGGAAAGATTATATTGTTGCTTTAACATGATCAAAGTTAAGTAAGTTAGATTATTTTTCATATGAATGTTAACTAAATTAACTGCTTGACACTTTAACAATATGAGCATGTTGAAAACAATATGATCCAAATTCACAGGGGTATACATTTCCAAATTTTTATTAGTAAGTACATATATTGAGATTATACCTGAATTTGCAAACCTTTCACATTTTATGTATTTTATCAGCTAATATACACAAAGTTGTGCAACAGGGCATTACATGAGAAAGAAGTACGGTCCAAAGGCGGTCTTACTCGAACCCAATTCTTCCTAATAGCCTTCACTTGCAGCTTTGCATACTATGTCTTCCCAGGCTACCTCTTCCAAATGTTAACCTCCCTTTCTTGGATATGCTGGTTTTGGCCCAAATCCATTCTAGCCCAACAGCTAGGATCCGGTCTATATGGGCTTGGAATCACAGCATTTGGGCTAGACTGGTCCACTATCTCATCCTACCTTGGAAGCCCACTTGCAAGCCCATGGTTTGCCACTGCCAATGTGGCAGCTGGATTTGTGCTTGTAATGTATGTGCTCACTCCAATTAGCTACTGGTTTAACTTTTACAAAGCAAAAACTTTCCCTATATTTTCAGATAGTCTTTTCACAGCATCAGGTTCAATATACAATATTTCGGCTATTGTAGACTCCAATTTTCATATCAACCATGAGGCTTATGCCAAACAAGGTCCTCTTTACCTTAGCACCTTCTTTGCTATGACTTATGGAGTTGGTTTCGCCGCATTAAGTGCTACTATTGTACATGTCGCGCTCTTCCATGGCAGGTATGTACATATTTTGTAAATTTTTGCTACATTATTACAAACATTTAATTTTTCTAAAGTTAATAGTCATGTATGATGATGTTCGAAACAAGTTGCCAGTCTTGTCACATTTCCTAAGAGAATTAGCTCATAAATGATTTTTATTGGTATGCAACTACTACAAATGGTAGAGTTTCATAATTATATTAAGGTGTGTATTATAAGAGGTTGAGATATAGTGAGTTTGTGACATATTTCGACGAAGAGAGTACTAAAGTGAAACAATATATGCTCACTTATACACAAAATATAGGGAAATATGGGATCAAAGCAGAGCAAGTTTTAAAGACAAGAAAAGGGACATACATACAAAGTTGATGGCACGATACAGGGAAGCTCCCGAATGGTGGTTTTGGGTTATCTTGGTGGTTAACATTGCAGCTACCATATTTGCCTGTGAGTATTATAAAGATCAGCTCCAACTTCCATGGTGGGGTGTCTTGCTTGCTTGCGGCATTGCCTTCATCTTCACACTTCCTATTGGAATTTTAACTGCCATCACAAATCAGGTATACATTGATATTATGAGATGTAATAATGCATTACGACCTTATGCTATTCTCCAATATAATGTATCTGAAATA